GAATTGGCAGAACCAAGCAGCTTGAAAGATGTGTCACAATGGAAAAGTGCAAATGGATATTACTTACATTCTTGGACTAAAGTCACAAAGCTGCTGTGCCAGCAGGAATAATAATACTGTATTATATTTCTCTCTATCTGCGACAGATGCGTCTGGGTAACAGCTCTCGCAGTCCCACAATCGCCGGTCTGGTCCTGGAACATTTGTGTCCCTCGGTCCAGAATATTTTAGAGGACGGTCTTCGGGATCACAAACTGGATCTCATCATCGGGCAGCGCCGCAACCACTCCTGGAGTGTGGTGGAACTCTCTACTAGGATCGGTAAATTTAACTCAAAGCATGAATCATGAGCAGCATTGTTTGTGGTACTCTGTTTGTTGGTTCTTTGATGAACTCTTTTTGAACTCAACCCAACTCTGCTACAGGTCCATCCACCAGGGTCCTTCACAGCCTGGTCTCAAAAATCAGACAATGTCCTCAGCTCACCAGCCACTGCATGAGACTGAGAGCCTTCATCATGGGCCTGCTTAAGTACCAAAATTACCTTTGATCATACTAATGATAATGAAATTACTGCACATAGTATAAGCATTTATCTTATGTTTGTTATTTGCTCTCTTTCAGTTTGAGAGCTTTGGAGTTCTGGCTTAGTCACCTTCAGAGTCAAAAAGGTGGGTTCACAGTCAATATACTGTACTTGTGTACTGTACTGTACCACACTAGCAGGGTGGCAAAATGTCAAATGTGAGTTGGTCAGTTGGTCTACCGCTGCAGTCCGTACTCTAATATTTCAACATATAATGAACAAACTGTCTTGACATTTGGTACCACGTTCAGGTTTCGCAAAGAATTGTATAATAATGTTTTTAATAATGTCTTTTCATTTATAATAATAATAATAATAATCTTTATTTGTAGAGCACTTTTCAAAAACAAGTTACAAAGTGCTTTAACAAGTATAAAGACAATAATACCCAAAAGACAATAATACAAAAACAATACAAGATTAAAGCAAGAAAACATTGAAAAGACTAAAATACACGTTTAAGATAAATATAAAATAAGTAAGATAGAATAAAATAAAAGGGATAAAATAAAGTCAAATAAGATCGGGAAAGGCTCTCCTTTAAAAGTATGTTTTAAGAAGGGACTTAAAAGAGTTCACTGACTCAGCCGACCTGATTTCCTCAGGCAGGCTGTTCCAGAGCCTCGGGGCCCTGACAGCAAACGCTCTGTCCCCTTTAGTTTTCAGTCGAGACTCTGGAACAGACAAAAGACCTCTGCCCGAGGATCTCAAGGTACGTGCTGGTGCGTATGGGACTAAAAGTTCAGAAATATAACAAGGCGAGAGGCCATGAAGGGCTTTAAAAGTGATCAATAGAATTTTAAAGTCAATTCTAAAACATACATTGTTTAAATACCTTTGAATGGCCAAACACACATAAAATGCATTATTCTACTTGCCAGAAAGTGATTGCAGCCTCTACTTATTGACTGAAATGTAGTTTCTGCCTCAAAATGACTTGATTTCATTCAGAAGAGTTATATTTGACAGATTATAAAACCGAAATCGCCTCCCTTTTTTATTTCATGATAACATATTTTTTAATGACCAAAACCACCAAACCAAAAATGTCCCCGGTTTTCGTTTCAGAAATGTGGTCACCTTAGGTCAGCAGTGAAATGTATTAAGCCACGTAAAATAAGGCCCACTGGAAAAAAATCAATATCAGTTCAAGTGTACACACTATGTGTTTAATATTTTCAGTTTAATTACCTTGCAATATTTGGAACTACATTATCTCAACCTCAAAACTTTTGTATTCCTACGCATCATCTATGGCAGGTTAGGTGATCTGCTGAAAACTGTAAGATGAGATTGAAAGGTCTGAAAAACAAAGTGAAATTCAGAATCAGCACGTTAGCATTGTTATCGTGACTATGCTAGCATGCAGATGTTTTTTGATGCATTTTGCTCAACAGCATCACTGAGCTGCTTGTGTGTTTGTAGACTCATGTTAAATAATTATTCAATCTTTACCAACAAATAATTGCATATGTTTGGATCTTTGTGTGACCCATATTACTGTCTTCACAGATGTGGTGACCACATACTACCATTCATGGGGGTTCCTGTCCATGTCACTGGGTCATTGTCAGCCCTTGTTTCAGGAGCTGCTACTTCTTCTGCAACCACTCTCTGTGTTGCCCTTCGATCTCAGCTTGCTCCTGGAGCCCCGACTGCTACATAACAGACAGCTGTGTTCGGAGGATGAAGGTGTTTCTCCACCTCCACCATGCTCAGCGCTCTTAGCGACCAGCTGGCCACTACTGCAAGTTGACAAAAAGGCTGACAGCAGCCGCAGTGGTCAGCAAACAATGATTTCAGGACTGCATCACCAAGAGTCGCTCAGTTCTCAGAATTGCATTAACCAAGATTGCGAAGGGATGCAGGTCAGCAGGAGTCCATTGTTAGCTCCAATTGGTGGTGGCATCCAGTGGTGGCAAAAAGAGCCTGACCTTATGGATGGTGTGGTTGAAGGGGAGGACTGTAGCCAGAATAATAATGCAGATACTTGGTCTCAAATAAGTATGGACAGCAGGCAAGAAGAGAGGAGGGGAGAGAAAGACAATGAGAGCCCAAATGCATTAACTTGTGTCCAGGCTGAAAGTCCATGTCAGGGTGGGCTGCGCTGGGCCAAACTGTTTGGAGCAGCTGATACCAGGACAGCAACAGTTTCTCAGAGTCACATTGAAGCACAATACAGAAGGTAAGAACCAGCTGTGAGCACTGAAAACAAGTACAGATTTTGTTTTATTTTCAAACTACTTTTATGTATTGTGGGCGGCTGTGTTTTGAGGTACAGCGGGTCACCGACTAATCTGAAGTTCGGCGGTTTGATCCCCAGCTTCACCCAGCCCTTATGTCGAATGTAAATGGACTGTACTTGTAAAGCACCTTTCCAGCGCTTTGCTGTAGCTTTGCTGTCGGTGTGTGAGTGTGTGTGAATGATCAGTTTCTTTCTGATGTCCAGTTGGCACCTTGCATGGTAGCCAGTGTATAGCACTTTGAGCGATCGGAAGACTAGAAAGGCACTATAGAAGTGCAGCCCATTTACCATTTATTAATCTTGGGTTAATTTTTGATTTGTTTGTGAGAATTAGATCTAGGCTGATGGAAGATTGACGCTCAAACTCACTACTCGTAACCAATACCTCTTTATCATCGCTTTCATAGGTACAGACGGCCATCACAGTGGCTGCATTTGGAGAGATTGCAGCTTGGACTGTTGGCTCAATCCATCAGGTCAATGAAGCTAGGGGGTTCTCAGACTGACAAGGACTGCTGAAAGCTTGACTCCCTATGTGGCTGGAGGACAGAGTGGAGGCTATTTACTGTAAAAACAAAAAGTCTGGACTGCATGATAATACATACACAGTGCTCGATGCTGCTGATCTGAGCAGAAAACACATAAAATACAGGATTGACAGATATGGCAATGGCCCGTATTCATCAAGCTTTGTGTTGCACCAACTTATTTGTGAATCCATTGCTAAGTTTGTGTGTCCTTTCTAATTTCTGAACTATCAGCTAGTTTCAAAACAAATCAACTTGCACCATTAGAATGGCTCAACTAACAGGAAGTCGCTGTCATAACTGTAAAAATAACTTTGTGTCCAATTTATATTTAATATAACAGCTAATCCTTTGTAAATGTTAGGATTACTTTTATTTATTTATACAAGCATACATTTAGAAATTTTAGAGTTAGTTAGTAGATTTTGCCTCTCTGAAGAATTTGAGGTAACTGTATTCTGTTACTTTGTGAAGTGTAATTTAAAAGTCCTCCCAGTGTGTCATTATACAGTGTTTAGATTAACTGCCTGGTCACATATGCCAACTGTTCATATTATCTCCTACTTTTCAAACTAAATAGGTCATATGTTAGCCAGCTAACATAAGATTTGGGTTAGCTAATGCTACTGTTACACCTGGAAGTTACTGGGTGTAAATATGCAATGACAACTAATCTCTAAGTAAGAACTATATTTTTGTGCAACCCTTTTTAATTTAGTGATGCACAAATCTCTGTAACTGGGCCTAGTTTGAACTTTCAAACAGCTGGTACAGCTGGCTCCTGGTGTAACCAGCTTAAAACGTCCCTGTGTCGTTTTATCAGTGCTATGTAATTTGTGCTCATATTAGTTGTTACATTGCTGTTTTCCAGGAAATAGCTTGATGAATGAGGGCCTATTTGCAATTGCACTCTGGAATAATCACAAGTAGGTGCTTCTGTTACCTGTTATTCTCCGTATATTTCCTGTAGGCACATATCAATCATAAAACAAGTTATAGACCTGTTGTAGACTGTTTAATATTCTTGTGGTGCAAAACTGTCCATTTCTCAAACGTCGCTGTCATTCTCTCCATAGCTGTACCTTTCATCTATAGGTGGGAAAAAAGCTAGCTATACACTCTTATTAGTGCCAATATATAGATACACTATCCTTGTGGATTGTCAGTGATGTTTTATTTCCAGTAATTTCCTTTTTATGAGAAAATTCCCAGCATGGATTAACTGTAGGTGCATGAGTTAACAAACATACAATAGGTGCTTCTGTATTTACTACATCTCTTAGCTTCCTGTTAATGTTTTTATAGCTGTAGTTGGGTCATTTTCTGGGACTGGAGTTTAAAATGTGTGCAATCGTGTGGTATAGTACAGTTGTATGTCTTCCGGTGAGGTTTGTTCAGTTGCACAAATATAGGCCATCTTGTGGCTGTTTCAGGTATAAATGTGTGCCAGGTGTATTTTGATAGACTGGTTGTTAGGTAAGAGGGAGAAAAGAGCAGAAAATGTGTTCTTTGCATTTGTTAAATAGATAATGTACTGCAATAACGTGAAGTCTATGAAATTATTCCACCCAGCATCACTTTGTTAACCTCTGGAGAATTCCTCTATGCCCAGTGACAATCAAAGTCAATAAAGACTTAACGCATTTACCTGTTTTCTTCTTGTATGCCAACAGTGAACAGTACAAATGTTTATGCATGTGCCACATGTTTTTGTATTTCAGCACAAATTGTTTTCATGGATAAGTTCTTTTATTTGACTTGTTGTCACAACTCCTTTATCTTGCTAATAATGATCATTTTAAGTGTATGATGGTTTCATGACTTTGCCTGAAGGATCCTCTTGATGCCACTCTTTTCCAGTGCGTTCTGGGAAAGTTGACCAAAGGTGTGTCCATACATGAACTGGTATCCTGTGGGATAGTTAGAAATTCTTGAATTTGATTTCAATCCTTGGTAGAGTGATCCATTTCAATTCAGTAACTGTTATAAAATAGCTGATCACAAGGCTTTGTAGAGTGAAATGAGTTGCTGACACAAACACAGACCTGGGATGTGTCCTGTGAATGACGGAACCACACCTCTGTTTGATGGATAGATAGTGGGAAGAGTGGTTATTGTACTGTCCTTCCTGTTTGGGATGTCTTGGGACGTGGGGTCACTCTGCTGCTGCTTTCCAAATTGGATCAGTGCCTGGTTGGTAGTGATGGGGTAACCTTTGCCAATTAGGAAGCGGGATTTTGGCACATGCCCTGTAAAACCTGTTATTAGGGCCATTGTAGGGAAAAAATAGTCTGAGAAAAACTTAGTTAAAAGTGGGAAATATATGAGAAAAAAATGCAAATTTACAGGAAAAAACTATTAAATAAACTATTAAATACATATTTTCTGAGATTATAAAGTCCCAATTTCTTTGAGAAAGCAGGGTATGCAGACACCAAAGCTACTTTCACCAACCTAGTATGAGGTACTTCCTTCTGTTCAAAGCATAAACAATTCAAAAAACTGCAGACATTTCTTAGTCTGCACTGACTCTTATCATCTATTACTAACGACTTGGAAAACACTTTTTTCCCAAGTTTTCTTCTCGTAGATTTGCAACTTTGTTACAGAATATTACCCTTGTATTAAAAACTACAATACTACAATGGCTCCAATACACATTGTAATTATTTGGAACTTTTTGGTATGCAAGAGAAAAAACTGTATAAAAGCCAGGATCAGTCTTGTTTATGTCAACCCAAATAACAAAACTCAAAGTGATGAACTCTCAGAGAACATCACCCATTGCTGCAGTTTGTTATTTTGGTTTCATAGTTTGCACAATTGCATTTCCAGTCACAGCAAGACAAAGTTAACAATACCTGGTGAGTAAAGTTGAATATCTAGTAGCTAAAGACACAGATATTTTTCTCAGGAGGCAAGTGAATATTACTTTGTATTTGCCAGATGGTCACAAACATGACTCCAATGGGACAATACTGTTGTTCTGTGTTTGATGGGTGTGCTTACTACTAATTGTTTACTAAGATGTTAGCCTTAGCAGGACTCTGTGTCTGTCAGCTTTTTCAACCCCCTAGTGACCAAAAGTGAATTAATACAGCTTTAAAGCAGCTAAATAATCAATATCTCTTAACTCAGGAACCTTAGAAACAGCTGTAGAACCAGATACATGTTTAGACTGTTTTGCTTCCCTCAATCTTTACCAACTAACTTCAATAATTTCTTCATCTAAACCATCAACCTGCCTCTTAGACCCATCCCGACTAGGCTGCTTAAAGATGTTTTACCCTTAGTCAGCACCTCTATACTAGATATGATCAATCTATCTTTATCAACAGGCTATGTACCACAGTACTTTAAAGTAGCTGTAATTAAACCTCTTCTGAAAAAGCCCAAACTTGATCCGGATGTTTTATCAAACTATAGACCTATATCTAACCTTCCATTTCTCTCTAAGGTTCTGGAGAAAGCAGTTGCTAAACAGCTGTGTGACTTTCTACAGAGCAATAGTTTATTTGAGGATTTTCAGTCAGGATTTAGAGCTCATCATAGCACAGAGACAGCACTGGTGAAAATTACTAATGACCTCCTTATTGCATCAGACAAAGGACTTGTCTCTGTACTGGTTTTATTAGATCTTAGTGCTGCATTTGATACCATTGACCATCAGATCCTATTGCAGAGACTGGAATATTTCATTGGCATTAAAGGAACCGCTCTAAGCTGGTTTAAGTCCTATTTATCAGATCGATTTCAGTTTGTACATGTTAACGATGAGTCCTCCATGCACGCCAAAGTTACTCATGGAGTTCCTCAAGGATCTGTCCTTGGACCAATCCTCTCACTTTATATATGCTTCCTTTAGGCAATATATCAGGAAACATTCCATAAGCTTTCATTGTTATGCAGATGATACTCAGTTATATCTATCGATCAAGCCAGATGAAACTCATCAGTTAGCTAAACTTCAAATGTGCCTTCAGGATGTTAAAACCTGGATGAGCTGTAATTTTCTTATGTTAAACTCAGATAAAACTGAAGTTATTGTTCTGGGGCCTAAGCACCTCCGTGACGCATTATCTAAAGATATAGTTTCCCTGGATGGCATCGCCTTGGCCTCCAGCACCACTGTGAGGAATCTTGGAGTTATCTTGATCAGGACATGTCGTTTAAGTCCCACATTAAGCAAATTTCAAGGACCGCCTTTTTCACCTACGTAATATTGCGAAAATCAGGAACATCCTGTCTAAAAATGATGCAGAAAAACTAGTCCATGCATTGTTACTTCTAGGCTGGATTACTGCAATTCCTTATTATCAGGCTGCTCGAAAAAGTCCATTAAGACTCTTCAGCTGATCCAGAATGCGCAGCACGTGTTCTGACAGGAACCAGGAAAAGAGATCACATTTCTCCTGTTTTAGCTTCTTTTGCATTGGCTTCCAGTAAAATCCAGAATAGAATTTAAAATCATTCTTCTTACCTACAAAGCTCTTAATGGTCAGGCACCATCTTATCTTAAAGAGCTCATAGTACCTTACTACCCCACCAGAGCACTGCGCTCCAGAATGCAGGGTTACTTGTGGTTCCTAGAGTCTCCAAAAGTAGACTAGGAGCCAGAGCGTTCAGCTATCAAGCTCCTCTCCTGTGGAACCAGGTTCCAGTTTGGGTTCAGGAGGCAGACACCATCTCCACATTTAAGAGTAGGCTTAAGACTTTCCTCTTTGATAAAGCTTATAGTTAGGGCTGGCTCAGGTAGTCCTGAACCATCCCTTAGTTATGCTGCTATAGGCCTAGACTGGGGGATTTCCCATGATGCACTGAGCTCCTCTCTCCTCTACTTTCTCTCCCTCTGTATGCAACCTTATCCCATTATTGCATGTTACTAACACAACTTCTCCCCTTTCTGGTAGTCTTGTGCTTTCTCGTCCCTCTCCTCTCTCCTCCTCCTATCACTTCCTGCAGGTTTTCTGGCTCTGGAGCTGTGGAGTCTGGATCTGTGGCTGCGGGTCGCCTGCTGCCCCGTGTTCCTGCTCGACACCCTCTACTGCAACGACTATTGTTGCTAGTCTTATTGTTATTATAATCATTAACATTACGATGGTTTCCATTAACACTATTATAAATATCTGTACCATTTTCATTTAGTTTATAGCAACATTACCTTCGCTGTCTGTACCTCTGTGTGTATATTGTGTAGGCTGCCTCCCTCCCCTCTCTCTCTCCTTACATCCCCTCTCTCTCTCTCTCTCTCTCTCTTTCTCTCTCTCTCTCTCTTTCACTCTCTTCTCTCTCTCTTTCTCTCTCTCTCTCTCTCACCCCAACCGGTCGAGGCAGATGGCCGCCACCCTGAGCCATGGTTCTGCTCGAGGTTTCTGCCTCTTAAAAGGAAGTTTTTCCTTGCCTCTGTCGCCTAGTGCTTGCTCTTGGTGGGAACTGTTGGGCTTCTGTAAATTCATCACAGAGTACGGTCTAGACCTGCTCTTTTATGAAAAGCGCTGTGAGATAACTGTTGTTGTGATTTGGCGCTATAAATAAAATTGAATTGAATTGAATTGAATATTTGTACATTAACAATAGAGCACATGACTGCTTGTATGTGAAAGGGGTTGCTTGTGGCGATGAACCCAGAAAGAAGTATCATAAAACCTGCAATTAGCCCCAGCATTTCAGAGCCTTTCAGCTCATTGTATTTTGTTTTTCCAGATCTGAGCTTTTTGTTTTGGTTCACCCTCACTGCTCTCATAGTGTGGTTTTCGTCAGCAGCAACAAGCTGATTTCGTCAAAAAAGATCTTAAAACCTACTGTGCGCTACCTGCTCAGCACCAACAGACAAAGTAGTGACTGGCTGGTGAACATGGTGGAGCATTTAGTAGCTGAATAGCAGAGATCCTCTCATAGTGAGGGAGACCAAAAGAGCTAATGCATTGAGTGACTCTCCAATGTATGCTAGTACGCACTTGTACACCAATATATGCTGGATGTGTTTGCTCCCATGTTTGCAATATCAACAAAAAAATATGTTATTTCAGGTTTCAGGCCAAATTAATTTTAATGGAACCAGCGTACCTGAGATAAAGTACTTGTACGGGTTCATCATCCATGAATATGGTTTTTCCAGCGGGGTTGAAGGACTTCAAGGGCTTGTCGTAGATCACTTTACTGGAGATTGCCGTCAAAGGGGGCTTCGGTCTCTGTGCCAAAGATAACAGAGAACCATTAAAACATGCATGACCCCAGATCTCATGATCAAAAGGATCATATGACAAACCGTTTATAAGCAAGAACAGAAGGTTTAAAAGGCAACAAATATACTAAATACCATATATGTATACCAATTACCACAGGAGATTAATGTAAACCAGTTCCTGTAAAATATGTATTAATGCAAGGTGAAGGAAACGAAATGTGTGCCATAAATAACTTGATTATACTGCTAATAATTCATTGTAATTATCTGAAAATGTTCATTAATGTGAATCTCAGAGACATAATTGGTGAATCTGTGGTCAGAGAAGCTGACCAGCTCTGCCTCTCAGTCTTTTTTAGGGGGGATTACATTACAGTGAACTGACACTGGACTCCACCATGG